GACCTCCAGTATTTTTTTTTTCCCCTTCCAGTACTGGGGATCGAACTCAGGACCTTGTGGTTGCAAGGCAGGCAATGGCACCACTGAGCTACGTCCCAGCCCTGTCCTCCAGTGTGTTTTAACTGAAGTGGCAGGAAAGCATCTTCACCTTGCTCCCACATTTAACAAAATAGTATTAAGCTTTCCCATTGAGCATGATGTTGGAGTTTTTCTGATGCCCTTGATTAAGGAAGATAACTTTTATTCCTAGCTTGATGAGGTGTTTTGTTTTGTTTTACTTTGTTTTGCAGTGCTGGAGGTGAACACAGTGGTTTCACACTTGCTGGTAGCTGAGTGGCTCTCCCAGTAAGCTACATCGCCAGCCCCTGTTTTTGAAATTTTGAGGCAGAGTCTTGTTAAATTGCCCAGGCTGGGCTTGAACTCATGATCTTCCTCAGCCTCCCAAGTGCTAGGATTACAGGTGTGCATCACCATGCCTGGCAAGTCTTGTACTTACTAATTGTATAGTGAACATTATAAATCATACATTGGAGGAAATCTAAATTCTTTTATTTGGTTTTTGCAGTACCAGGGATCGAACTCAGGACCTTGCGCTTGCCAGGCAGGCACGGCATCACTGAACTACATCCCAGCCCCCAAATTCTTCTGTTCTGATGAAAGTACCAGCTGATCACTGTTATCATCTAGAGGCTTGGTTTTACACTTGATAAGCCATATGTGTTTTGGTTTTGCCTGTAATCCTAAAAGTGATCTCTTAGTACTAAAACATACTCTTTAGTCTCAATTCATGGTCTTTCTCAGTTTTGGTGGAAAGCTTGAGCTCCTTACTATGCCCTTCTGATTTGATTAAAGTCAAATTCTAAACTCTTGGCTCATTGGTCTTTCAATGAGGAGACTTCTTTTGACTTATGTAATTTGGGTGTTTGCCAGGATATGAGGAGATATCTGTTTGTCTGTTTATTCTAAGGCTTCCTTCTTCCCTTGTTGTTCTCTCTCCTTTCTGAGATTTCTGTTCTCAGTTGCCACTGTGGTAGCTGAACTCCATCCTGTGATATCTCAAGCCAGTAGACTGTGACTTTCTAATTGAATTCTAGTCACCCCACACCTTGTGGACTGGTGAATGCTTCTAGGGGAAAAGCACATAAACATATATCTTACTGAGTATTGTTCTTTTTCAAGATCAGTCTGTTCGTCCTCAAATTTCTCCCTACTTAAGTCATTCTCCAGTGCCTTTACATAGTTTAAAAACATTATTTTCATAGTTTCCAATTATTATCTGCAGGAAGGTTACCTAAATGTTTCTGCCATCATTAGAACCAGACTTGACATAAAGTTTTATTTTATTCAGTAAATTCTGACTACTTCATAAATATCTTTGTTTTTTGAGACAAAAAACTGGCTGACTTTGAGCTCACTATATAGCCCAGGCTGGCCTTGAACTTGTGGCAATCCTCCTGCCTCAGCCTTCCAAGTGCTGGGATTATAGGCATGTACCCCCACATCCAGCTATAAATTTCTTTTTTTTTTTTTTTTGGACCCGGGATTGAATTCAGGTCATTGTGCTTGCGCAGCAGGCAGCGAAACCACTGAGCTAAATCCCCAGCCCTATAAATGTCTTTTTAAAACATAGTTTAATTAAAAATCATTTGTGTTATATGTATATACACATTAAATGTTTGTGGTATTGATCAATGCAGAAGAAATATGGAACTGTGAACCAGATGTGTGTCAGTAGTCCTTATGTATATACCAAATTCAGAATGCTCAAATTTATTTTTTAATATGTGCTGAAATAATTTCACCTTAAATGATAACGAATAAAGCTGTTCAGTTGATAACATTTTTAAAGTTTAACTTGTGTAAAAGGAAATTTTTTTTGGTTTTTGTGACAGAGTCTCATTATATGGTCCAGGTTGTCCTTGAACTCGCTATGTAGTCCAGGCTGGCCTTGAACTCATGGCCTCCCAAGTGCTGGGATTACAGGCCCAGGAAATGTCTTTTTTTTTTTTTTGGTACTGGGGATCGAACTTGGGTCCTTGTGCTTGCAAGGCAGGCAGCAAAACCACTGAGCTAAATCAGCGGCCCAGGAAATGTAATTTTATAATACTGATAGTGGCTATGTATCTTTACTAATTTTTTTCATTTAAAAAATAATTTACCTGTTTTCTTTCCAAAGAATGATAGTTGGCTAAAACATTCTTTACAGTATCTATGTGTCCATGCTGATTTAAACAAACAAGTGAGTAAATAAATGGGGGAACATCATAACTCTTTCTTAGAGACAAATTCCAATTAGTAAGTATAGAAGGAAAGAGAAATTGTAAAACTTCACCATTAGAACACCACAATAAAAATTACTGTAGGCAAGAGCCACCAATGGATACTAGAATTAGCAAAGATTGAAGTAGAACAGTAGAATAAAGTTGTTCCCCTGACATATTTATATTTAAATTTAGTAATTTGTAAAGAAAAGTTTACAATGGAGATTCTTTTTTTTTTTGGTACCGGGGATCAAACTCGGGTCCTTGTGCTTGCAAGGCAGGCAGTGAAACCACTGAGCTAAATCCCTGGCTCCTACAATGGAGATTCTTGGTAGCACAGGATCTTAGCCAAGTGGTCAAGACTGCCATCTCCAGAAATAGCAGTGTATCTCCTGATATTTTGCACTGAGGAGGGCCTATCATCTCCGTGCTATCCTCAGTAATGACCATAGTCTTATTCTGAGAAAACTCAAATTGAGGGAGAGCCTCTAGATTAACTAGTCAGTGCTTTTCCAAAAGTGTCAGTCTTCAAAGACAAGGGAAGGAATTGTCCCAGATGGGAGTAGGTTTCTGAATTAGTTCCTGAACAGAAAAAGAACCTGAATAAGGCCTGTACTTTATATTGTACCAAATTAATTCCCTTTTTTTTTGGTACCAGGGATTGAACTCAGGACCTTGCACTTGGGAGGCCTGCAGCAGCACCACTGAGCTAAATCCCCGGCCCTAATTTCCTACTTTTGATAAATGTTCTTTAAGATATTAACATAGAGGGAAGCTGGTTAAAGGGTGTATAGGAACTCCACAATTTTTGCAAACTGTTCTATAAATTTAAAACTATATTACAATTTTTAAATGGATTTTTAATTTGCTGTTTGTTTGTGTGTTTGTGACAGGGTCTCAATATATAGTTCAGGCTGGGCTTGACCTCGCTGTGTAGCCCAGGTTGGCCTCAAACTCTCAGCAATCCTCCTGCCTCAGCCTCCTCAGTGCTGGGATCACAGTTATACATCACTATGTCCAGTTTAAATAGATTCTTTATTATTATTGGTTATGAAAAAGCCCCAAAAACCCCAATATTATTGGCTATAAGACTGCCCTATGGATTAAGACTTTTCTCCTTAATTCCAAAACAGGTATTTTTCTGAAACACTGTTCCTTGGATGAGCACATGCCTGTAATGTCGCCTGCTCTTTGAGGCTGAGACAGGTGAAAATTCAAGACCAGCCTGGACAATTTAAGCAAGGCCTAGTCTGAAACAATGTGCTGGAGATGTTGGTCCGTGATAGAGCACTTACCTAACATGCAGGAGGCCCTGTGTTCAATCTCAATTTTTTTAAAAAAGTAAAGCCTCAGAGGCTCAGGAAGGGGACCTAGCAATCTGTTTTAGCAGTCCTTCAGGTGATTCTGAGGCAAACTAAAGTTTGAGAGCCATGATGTATACCACCTGTAGAAATGTAATCCCAGCACTCTGGAAGGCTGAGGGAGGAGAATCACAAGTTCTAGGCCCGACTGGGCAACATAATGACTTATTGGGAGCCTATCTCAAAATAACAAAAAGGACTGGGACATAGCTGAAGGCAAGGGCCTTGGATTTAATTTCCAGCTCCCCAAAACCCATTTTTCTCATATACTGGCCAGAAATTAAATGTGTGCTGTAAAGTGTGCATGTAGTGTAACCAGTGTTATAATGCATTTCATCTAGTTCTGTTTAAACTAGAATTGTCTCCTGAACAGGTCCCAGGTGCTCTTAAGAGATCCTTTAAGGTCTGAGTAAGTGCTGCTCAGTCTTTTCTAAGTTCGGCTCTCAGTTTTGACCTACCTCTTTTTTATTAGCACCAAAATCAAAGCTTTATATATCTGTACCAAGATTCTTTCAAAAGATTTCATGATTTGCTTTTTTTTTTGGTACTGGGGATCGAACTCAGGACCTTGCGCTTTCGAGGCAGGCGCTGTCCCACTGAGCTAAATCCCTGGCCCCTGCTTTTTTTTTCTGGATAATTTGAAAATTTTTATTTATTGTTCTGCATAAGAAATTTGACCTCTCGTTCTTTTTAGGTTTTGTTTGTTGTTTGGAGTGTTGGGGATGAACCCATCTTTTCAGGTCTAGATGTTTTTCAGGATTTAGAAGAAAAGACCATAAAAATAAGCCTCATCTCCGAACAGTAATTGTCTTAAGCAGAACTAACTTCTTAAACTTTGCATTTAAAAGATGCTCCACAAGGTGAGGGTTTAGCTCAGTGGTTTTGCCGCCTGCCTCACAACACAAGATCCTGAGTTCTAACCCCGGTACCCCCCCAAAAAAAACAAACCACCAAATAAAAGATGCTCCACAAGAAGTGCTCCACCTCCCGTGGTGCTGTGAGGCCACTGCTGCCTACATATCTGTTCAAAGGCATGTCATTGGTTTCATTGGTATTCTCTTTGCTTGCTTGCTTGCTTCCCTTTTTTTTGGAGACAGGGTCTTGCTCTTCTGTTCAGGCTGTCCTTGAACTCAATGTATAGCCCAGGCTGGCCTCAAACTCCCATCCATCCTCCTGCCTCAGTCTCCCTAACACTGGGATTACAGGCGTGTTCCACCGTGCTTGACCACCTTGTTTTTTATGTCTCATAAATCTGGAATTTACAAATAGAATCTATTTGTGTATTGATTTTGAGAAAATGAGTTGAGTTTGACAGTTGTATATGGCAAATTTTCAGTATCTCAAAAGCCTGAATTTTTCTTAAAAATTCTCTTTATAGACGTACAATAGCTGTGCCAGACTCTGCTTAAACCAAGAAACAGTATGTCTAGCAAGTACTGCTATGAAGACTGAAAATTGTGTGGCCAAAGTAAGTAATATTATTCACCAGTATATATCACACCACGTCATAACAGTGCAATGTCTGTAGGCATCTTCACTCAGTATTGGACTAAATTGCAGAAAAGAATACACTTAGCATTTTGTGCAGAACATATTGCATGTTGGAATTCCCATAAGTTCCTTCATGGTTTTTAAATGTCATTAAGTAAAGAGTACTAATAAAAAAGTAAAAAGGACGGTATTACAAGGTTGTGAAATATGCAAAACTCAACTATTATGTCACTGCTACGTGTAGAGTGGCTAATTTTAGAGAGAACAAGTGTGTTTAGTCATGCATATGAGCCACCTCTTTCATGTATAAATACGTGCCATGTCTGTAGCCTAATGCACAAATAATTGTAAGTACTAAAGATCTGAAGCTTTCCCAGTCAACTGACTCAGATTTTTGGTGTCTCTACTCAAGAACTGAATTAAATTCGAGTGTCAGCCATTTTGATGATCACAGGAGTAAGTGATATTCAGTATGGGCTTGATTTCTAGACCTTTACTTTACTTATCTGCAAAAATAAAACCTGTATTACCATTTAGGGATTTGTCACTGTTACAACCGAACTTTATTTTAATCTACTGTCTCATACACACAGGCCCTCAAGTTACTTACTGTTGTTATTATAACAGTAGAGACAGGGCTGGTGTCATGTGGTCTTCATCTTTGCTGCAAAATTGGAGGACAGCTATCTTTGTCTTTTCAGATTGTTATAACAAAAATATCATAAACTGAGTGTCTTACAAACAATAGAAAAGATTTTGTTTTTTTTTTTTTGAAGATAGGGCCTTGCTCTGTAAGTCAGGCTGGCTTTGAACATACAGCCTCTTGGCTCAGCCTCCCAAGTGCTGGGATTACAGCCTGGTTGGGCAATACTAATTTATTTCTTAGTTTATAGTAATATCTAGTTCTTAAAGTAATTTTATAGTTCCAGGGGCTGGGAAGTCCAAGATCAAGGTGCTGATAGATTGGTATCCAGTGAGAGTTCATTCACTCTGCTTCCAGATAGAGCTTCATACGTGATGGAAGGGACTGGGAAGGGGCTGCTTGGGACACGAACCCTCTTTATTAAGGCTCTGTCCTTAAGAATTTCAGGGGAGGACTGGGGATTTAGCTCAGTGGTTCTGGCGCCTGCCTCGCAAGTGCAAGATCCCGAGTTCGATCCCTGGTACCAAAAACAAAAACAAAAAAGAATATATAAACATACAAACTATAGTAACAGCAATATTTTGTATTATTTCCATTTCTTAAAACCTGTAGGAGTCTCTGGGCCTGCTTTATTCACTGAAAACAAAATACAAACATTGGGATAACACACATAAGAAACACTCGAATTTACTATTATAAAAGGTGGAGTCTAGCAGGGTCTTAAATTCAGATCTTAATAATTTGCTCCAGAATGTGTTTTATATTTATTTTTTCAGTCATTTAGTCAAAACTAGCTAATGCTAATTGACCATTTTAAAAATTTTTTATTTTTATTCGTACACGTTTGCATACATGCTGATTACATTCATCTTGGGAAGGTGGTGCATGTATGTAACACATCTTTCTTCTTTTTATGTTCCCTAATCCTACCCTCAGCCCTGCTGAATATACAGCATTTGTGTTGGACACATGGGTGCAATTATTTGGGCTTTCAAAAAAACAATCTTTCTCCCTTTTTGGCCATACTGCTGTCACTTTCATCACAAATGGTGACTTCTGGCTAAACAAGGCAAGATCTTACCGTGCACACCAGTGCAAGGCCAGGGTGACAATTTTAATGAGTTTTATTGAGAGGCGGCCAAGTGAGCATCTGCTCCTTTTGTTTCCCCACACTTGTAAGCCAGAGTCCCTAAGCTGCATAGTTGGGTTAGGGTTATGTTGGGGGATGTAGTAGTGTGCAGTGCGTTAGTCTTCTCCCTCCCCTCCACTCCAGCGGCATGTAGTTAGAAATCCACTGGCACTGGCGCAGTGTGTAATTGTTCCCGTGCTCTGCGGTGAGGAAGGAAGTTTGCTCATTGCTGCTCATCAGTCTGCTTCCTTCATTTGCTCCCAAATGCTGGCTCTCTTTCTCATCACAGTCTTACCTGTTTCCTTGAAGCGCTCCAATAATGGTTTCTATAATTTACTATTAGAACCCACCTAACTTCTGTTTCTTATTGGCCCACACCCTGTCTTTCAGTTTGTTGCTTTCAGATTTGGACCAAATAATCAGTTGATCAATGGCAAGTCAAAATATGTAGTCAAAAATTATTTATTGTAGCAGCTTCCCATAAGATACCAATAGCGTGGGAATAGTGAAAGTATTTTTCTTTTTTATTTACATGTGTTCATGTAATCTTGTGAGTTTTTACTGTTTCTCTTGGCCTCATTTATTACTTGACCTTTGAAAGAAATGACTTGCCATTGTTTTTGTTGGTCTGCAAGCTTGTCCCTATTTCTTATACTTCACCTTTAACCCTTAACTGAATGATTTCATTTGCTACATTGATAGGGCTGCAGTGATTTTTTTCTAGAACTTGGCACAAGTGTCTTTTGTTGATTTAGATTGATGATGATATCAACATTTTTATCCTGTGGTTAGTTCAGAGCAACAGAATTCTGATTAGAGTGATTTTTGTTTGTGTAAAGATACTTAGGGTCTAGAACCTTATTATTGAATTTTGTTTACATGACTTTCAGAGATGTCAATACTATTTTCTTAAAAAGCAGAAACTTGTATTGAACCCTTTTTGTGTGTGGTATATGATTCTCCTTTGCCAGAAGTACTAGTCGTACAGTTGCTCTCCAAAAGAGGTATCCGTGAGTCCTCTTTAGAATATAAGAAAACAGTGTAAGGTAAACTGTAGCTCTTCTAGGTTGACAGTAATCTGAATCTTTACTATGAAGAAAGAGACCTATTTCTTAGAAAGAAAAAAAACAAACAAGGAGGGGTCATTTTATCAGTATAATTTAATCCAGGTAATATTTGGAGGCAAGGAAATGTCTTTTGTTGTTTTTTTTTCTTCAAAAGACTTTCTTCTTATTCCCCTGTGGTTTATGAGATTTGTGTTTGGGACATGATGAGCTCTGTATTTATTGTAGCTTTAAATGGGCAGTCATTATTGACTATCAACTTAGTCTTTAAAATCCATAATCTTCTTGTTCCTAATTGTCAATCTTTGTGATGTTTTTATAAAGAAAGTAACTGGAAAACTGAAGAACTGAATTAATTTTTTACGTTCTCTTTTTTATTGACTGAAGTACTGCTGAAATTTTAGTTTTAGGCTCTTCTGTAGTTTACCCTTATACATATTCAGATGCATAGGTAGTTAGAAGTGAGCTGTTTGAGTATATCTACCTTGATTCTTGGGCTGGATAGAAGAAGTTCTGCTTCTTTACGTGTGGAAAGCAAACCTCATCATAGGACTTGTGTCAATATTCTATTTTTTTTGTTGTTTGTTGTTACTGTTTTTTACTTGAGACTAATAATCTGCTTGAAACTGACTGAGACAGAAAAATGTGATGTTGCTTCCACTTACTCCAGATTTTGATAGAAGACTTGTTTTATTTATTTCCAAAATTATATCCGCAGGAAACAAGCTGTTTAAATTCAGATTATGCTGAAACAAAATGGTCCTGGTATGAGAAGCAACGTGCTGTTTTACGAGCGCAGAGTCCCTTTTCTCATAACTGATTGATAGTAAATATTTTCCTGAAGAATTATTGCCAACCATGAACAGTGCAACTGTTTCACTTTTTTTCTGTGCTACTTGCTGTACCAGCCATTGTCGGTAATTAAGATCTACAATTCACAATGCAGACGTTTGCACTTCCTCTGGGTCTGTGCTATTTATAAGGCATTTCAGCTGTTCGGAGTTTCTTTTGAGTTTTAAAGTACATGTTAACAGGCTTCTTTAATACACTGCTCCACAAGTAGGAGTCAGATGGTCTGCTGTTCTCACTGGCGTTGTCAGGTCACAGCCAGCTTTGTGGGGAACTCTGAGTTAACCATGTCATAGAGGCCAGTGTGCTCCAGTGAGCTCTGGAATGTAGCGTGTTGTGTATTACACTACTGCTGTTTCAGGAAAGCAGGAATGAAGTTCAGAAGTAAAATTTTTCTTTCATCTTTAAGTACTCAAATGAAGTAAATATGTTAATTGGATTACGGAGGTTTTGAGAAACACACAATTAAGTGACTGCCAAGGTGACTTTGAAGTAAAAGAAGCAAGGATCCCTCTTACAGACAAGAGTGTGTCAGATTAAGGATGTAAAAACACATTACTTCTCGGTGTGCATGGTTTTTAATAATACAGCCGAGGGGCACCAACGTGGGTCAGCAGATTGCACATTTGTTGCATAACCAGTTCAGGACCCCGAGGAAACATATGCCATGGTACGGAAAGTGCAAAACAGGGTTCTTGGTCTGCATTAAAACTGGTAACACTGCAGTGCAGAAGAGAGACTTGTTTCTTTATCTCTGTTTTGGAGGGCTGGGCAAAGGCTTAGTAGCAGAGCACTTGCCTAGCATGTCCAAATCCCTAGCACCGCCACCCCCCCCCTAAAAAATCCAGGCCAGGGCCTGGGATTTAGCTCAGTGGTTTCGCCGCCTGCTGTGCAAGCACAAGGACCCGAGTTCGATTCCCGGTACCAAAAAAACCCAAAAAACAAAATCCAGACCCTAGCCCAGCAAATTCATGAATTATGCCCTAGAATCAGAGTAACGGCTTGCACAGTCTCCATGCTCCAAGCACCCATTGTTAAACATACAAGAAAAAGAAAGGAGAAACAGAAAGCTGTCAACAAAATGTGTTGAAAACTGCCACACATGGGGCTCAGACTGGCTGTTTGAAGCCTGAAGTCCAGCTGCATCAATTGTGCCCATCGGCCGCCAGCATCTCTGGCAGCGCAGCTCTGTGCAGAGAGGCAGGACACAGGTTTCAGTGCTGACTCCTGTAGCTCTTGGATATATAGGCAGAGCTTCTAACAAAACCATTCCAAGGCAGTTGCATTTGACA